TTAAATATAAGTACTATAAATATACTTTGAAGTTAATCATCATTATATGCACTCATTACATTTTATGCAATTTATACATGTTTTATATAAATCAAAATAAAATTGAAATGATTATTAATTTGTAATTATGTTTTATCTGACTTAGTTATGATATCTATATTATATTTTCTAAGAAATGTACAGATTAGCTTGATTTTTACTTATAATTTATAATTGTGTGATAATCGATATTATCTGAAAATATATGTATTGATGTCATTTGACACCATCATTTGACATATGAACTTCGTTTAATGTTTTCCTCATTAAAAAGTAATTTTTATAGATTCTAAAAAAATGTTAATATGAGTGTAGAATAATCAAAATGAAAGGAAAAAAATATTTAACGATAAAATAAGGACTTTAAAGCTTTTAAAAGCAAATAATATTAAAAAAAATTGAATATGAGTGCACACGCGCGCGCATCATATATGTATATGCACACTACACAAGTGGCCATACCCGGTCATATCTGCTTCAATCAGCTTAGTTTATACGATCTGTTTTATAACGTCGAGTCTTGTTGTCAATAATTCGAATTCTATGGTTCAATAACTGACAAATATTATATTTGTGGATATTCGGAATTTAAAGATATTTCAATTTGATTGTTTGGTAATAGTTGTATTTAGGTATCATACGCATTCCATATATAATGCTGATCACGGTACGCGTGATACATACGGATAGATGCGTATAGATAGGGTCGATCTGTGGAATGGATGCTTAATAAGTTACGTTCTGCGTTGCTTATAATCACCTTTCCTGAACTCTTTTGTAACACTTGCTTTTAATCACTACAGGTAAGTTATTATATTAGCATTTACATTTCGCATCTAGTTTTATTCTGTTCACCACTCTTTCATTCTTTCAAGTGTATCGGAAGATAGCTTTTATATTGTGTGTAGTAACGATTGTCTTTGTACGTCATCTGTAGGTAAATATCTGTTACATTTGCCTTTTTCATTGCATATATATTTTTGTTACATTCAAATATTTCCTTATTTTTATATATTTTTTTATTAACAATATTTCTATTTCTATGATACTAACATTTTTTTTGTAATATATGTTTTCGGTTTACATTACAA